GGGGCCGGGCCCAGCCAGGCAGCAGGTTTAAAATACAGCCAGTCCCCGAGCTACGAACGCATCGACTTACGACCGTTCGCATTTACGACCAACCTCCTATATGGCCGGAACCCAAGTTACGAACAAAATCCGACTTACGCACAGCACGGCCGCTTACGAACAGCGCGGCCGTACGTCGGGGAACGGAACCCGACTTACGAACAGCGCGGCCGTACGTCGGGGAACGGAACCCGACTTACGAACAGCGCGGCCGTACGTCGGGGAACGGAACCCGACTTACGAACAGCGCGGCCGTACGTCGGGGAACGGAACCCGACTTACGAACAGCGCGGCCGTACGTCGGGGAACGGAACCCGACTTACGAACAGCGCGGCCGTACGTCGGGGAACGGAACCCGACTTACGAACAGCGCGGCCGTACGTCGGGGAACGGAACCCGACTTACGAACAGCGCGGCCGTACGTCGGGGAACGGAACCCGACTTACGAACAGCGCGGCCGTACGTCGGGGAACGGAACCCGACTTACGAACAGCGCGGCCGTACGTCGGGGAACGGAACCCGACTTACGAACAGCGCGGCCGTACGTCGGGGAACGGAACCCGACTTACGAACAGCGCGGCCGTACGTCGGGGAACGGAACCCGACTTACGAACAGCGCGGCCGTACGTCGGGGAACGGAACCCGACTTACGAACAGCGCGGCCGTACGTCGGGGAACGGAACCCGACTTACGAACAGCGCGGCCGTACGTCGGGGAACGGAACCCGACTTACGAACAGCGCGGCCGTACGTCGGGGAACGGAACCCGACTTACGAACAGCGCGGCCGTACGTCGGGGAACGGAACCCGACTTACGAACAGCGCGGCCGTACGTCGGGGAACGGAACCCGACTTACGAACAGCGCGGCCGTACGTCGGGGAACGGAACCCGACTTACGAACAGCGCGGCCGTACGTCGGGGAACGGAACCCGACTTACGAACAGCGCGGCCGTACGTCGGGGAACGGAACCCGACTTACGAACAGCGCGGCCGTACGTCGGGGAACGGAACCCGACTTACGAACAGCGCGGCCGTACGTCGGGGAACGGAACCCGACTTACGAACAGCGCGGCCGTACGTCGGGGAACGGAACCCGACTTACGAACAGCGCGGCCGTACGTCGGGGAACGGAACCCGACTTACGAACAGCGCGGCCGTACGTCGGGGAACGGAACCCGACTTACGAACAGCGCGGCCGTACGTCGGGGAACGGAACCCGACTTACGAACAGCGCGGCCGTACGTCGGGGAACGGAACCCGCCATGAACAGCGCGAGGCCGTACGTCGGGGAACGGAACCCGACTTACGAACAGCGCGCGGCCGTACATCGGGGAACGGAACCCGACTTACGAACAGCGCGGCCGTACGTCGGGGAACGGAACCCGACTTACGAACAGCGCGGCCGTACGTCGGGGAACGGAACCCGACTTACGAACAGCGCGGCCGTACGTCGGGGAACGGAACCCGACTTACGAACAGCGCGGCCGTACGTCGGGGAACGGAACCCGACTTACGAACAGCGCGGCCGTACGTCGGGGAACGGAACCCGACTTACGAACAGCGCGGCCGTACGTCGGGGAACGGAACCCGACTTACGAACAGCGCGGCCGTACGTCGGGGAACGGAACCCGACTTACGAACAGCGCGGCCGTACGTCGGGGAACGGAACCCGACTTACGAACAGCGCGGCCGTACGTCGGGGAACGGAACCCGACTTACGAACAGCGCGGCCGTACGTCGGGGAACGGAACCCGACTTACGAACAGCGCGGCCGTACGTCGGGGAACGGAACCCGACTTACGAACAGCGCGGCCGTACGTCGGGGAACGGAACCCGACTTACGAACAGCGCGGCCGTACGTCGGGGAACGGAACCCGACTTACGAACAGCGCGGCCGTACGTCGGGGAACGGAACCCGACTTACGAACAGCGCGGCCGTACGTCGGGGAACGGAACCCGACTTACGAACAGCGCGGCCGTACGTCGGGGAACGGAACCCGACTTACGAACAGCGCGGCCGTACGTCAGGGAATGGAACCCGACTCACGAACAGATCGAGTTACCACCTACTGTCTGTACGTAACTCGTTCGTAAGTCGGGGACTGGCTGTACTTGGCCTGCCTGGAATTCAGGTTCAAACCTTCAGCCAGTCAGCTCAGCCTTTCCTCTTTCCGCGGCAGTGGCAAGGCAGGGAGGCAAAAGCGGGGGCTGGGGCTCGGTAGAGCTCAGCGTGGCCTGGCGCTCCAGCAGTAATTTACAGGGCCTGTGGCTACAGCTGCCCAGGAACTCCAGGCCCTTTTGCATCGCCAGGCCCCCCGGAGCAGTTGCCCCCTTAGGCCTGTCGGGGTCTGCTAGGTAGCCAGAGGTCCATGCAGTGGGGAGGGCCTTTCAAGTTAGACCTTAAACTCCAGGATCTGGTTTTCAGAGGGGCGGGTACTAACAGCTCCCATTCTTTCAGGGGCTGCTGCAGGTGCCCCTCACCTCTGAGAGCCAGGCCTCCTGCCATCCTCCACCCCAGAAGGGCTGCATTTTAGTCATCAGTCCTCATGCTTCAGGACACATAGTGAGCACAGGCACCCCCGGGTGTTGGAGGGCACAACGTGAGGGGTAGGAAGGCTGGATACTTTCCTCTAAGCATCCCGCCTTGGTCAGGGTCAGGATGGCCGCTGAGGCCGTACGTCGGGGAATGGAACCCGACTTACGAACAGCGCGGCCGTACGTCGGGGAACGGAACCCGACTTACGAACAGCGCGGCCGTACGTCGGGGAACGGAACCCGACTTACGAACAGCGCGGCCGTACGTCGGGGAACGGAACCCGACTTACGAACAGCGCGGCCGTACGTCGGGGAACGGAACCCGACTTACGAACAGCGCGGCCGTACGTCGGGGAACGGAACCCGACTTACGAACAGCGC